TCATTTTTCATAATTAAGGTAAGTACTGTTCAGAAGGCTGTTTCAATTTCCCCAACAGCAGGATATCATGGTAGATATCTATATTCTTCCAATGTGCTTGGAACTTTTAGGAAATTATTACCTAAGTAATTTTCTCCACATTTGTGAAAAAGAAATGTGACCATGGGCTTTACAGACAAATATTGCATCATAAATCTATTATTTTAACACAGTATAAATGTTTCCTTTTCAGAACCTGTTTCATGTGATTCTGTTTGTTTGTTTGTTTGTTTGTTGTTTAACACCACACTCAATATTTCAGCCACAGCAATATTTCAGCTGTATGACAGCGGTTTGTAAATAATTGAGTCTGGATCTGACAATCCAGTAATTGCCATCAAGAGCATCGATCTACGCAAATGCGGTACAATCAAACTAGTCAGTGAGCTTGACCACCCAATGCATGGCATGGGTCGCTGAAGACCAATTGTAACCCGGATCTTCATGTAGTCATGGTATTGTGTACCCATGTTATGTCTTAGATGCTTATCATATTGGAAGTAATATTGTACATTGTGTCATGGTCATGCTGAAAACTTGTCTGTTCGGGATTACAAACAGTTTACTTGAACACGCACAAATAGTATATTATTTGTAAAATTCAAAACAAATTCCATATGAATAGATATCATCAGTTGACATTGTGATTATATTTGTACATTGTGTCCTTATACATTGTGTCATATACATTGTGTCATTATACACAGTGTTATTATACATTGTGTCTTATACATTGTGTCATATACATTGTGTCATTATACACTGTGTCATACATTGTGTCTTATACATTGTGTCATTATACATTGTGTCCTTATACATTGTGTCATATACATTGTGTCATAAACATTGTGTCATTATACACTGTGTCATTGTACATTGTCTTATACATTGTGTCCTTATACATTGTATCATTATGCATTGTGTCTAACACTTTCTTTCTACTGCCTCTGTGGTCGAGTGGAAAGAGTGTCTGCCGAGAGAAAAAAAGTTCAGCGGCTTGCAATCCCCTGGCCGCGTCATACCAAAAGACTTTCACTGTCAAAGTCCATTTTCCTAAGACATCTATGGCATATACTCTTGCTATTGGCATAACAAAGAAAATACATATATCTACAGAACGTTGTGACACTGTTTCCAGGGTTGTCCCTCTTGTTTGGTGAGTTAACATTGTGTGAGAGGCAGCGATTACAAACATTGATCCAATCTAGTTCAAGCTTGACATTTTAATATTTCTGAAACATATCCCAACTAAAGGGACAGGAGATAATATAATGAATGAAATTCCTTCAAAAAACAATTCAATTCCATACGCCTGCAGCTACAAAGAAATCAGGAAATCAAACTTTTGGAAAAGGCCAAAATTGAAAACTGAAATTGGCAATATCATGCATAATCAAATACATTAATGCCAAAACTGTCTATCACAGCAATAAATACAAAAATAAACTCTTCCTTAATGTGGATTCTTCCTTTAGCCCTGGACAATTTTTCAATAAAATGGACAATATTGTCAATATAGAGAGTAACTGATGATATTTTCAAAATCCAATGTAACAGACTGTGTTGTTTATATCAACAATGAAATAGACAAGTCTTTCATATCGGCCACCACTTCCTTCAGTCAACTGTATGTGTGAGTATTGACTGCACTTTCAGACTTCCAGCCCAACGCATCAACACTGTAAATGCTCCACAAAAAACAACCATATTAAACCCTCAGACAGACAACAGGAGTCCAAATGTTGATCTGATATTAACCCTTACGCAGTGATAAGTAAATGATACGGACATGAAATGGACAACACCTCAGACTGTGAAATTAGCATCACTTGAAATCAACGAGTATGGTTTTACGTCACAATAGCAATACAGACCGAAGTCATAAAAAACGTGGGGGTGGGGGTGGGGAAGGGGGGTGGTTCGGAGGGCAGGGGGGTCTTTACAACAGCATCCACATTGCCTCATCATAACAAACCCACTAACCCAGTTCATATATGTGGAAAACAGGAGCACCAACCACTTGGCTGTCACCCCTATCAGTCATAAATGGTTATTGCCTAATTTATTTAAATCTATATTTGTACATAAAAACATACTAAAGTTCAAGATTTCAGGAACTGACAACTTGGTAAGAGATGACCAATAGACTAACGTGACATTAACATTAACCTCACAAATATATTCATACTTTTCTCGTCAAATAAAAAATTAAAAAAAGACACCTTAAAGCAATCACACACATTCTAATGAAACGTTGAATACTTTCAATATGAAAATATGAAAGACATTTTTTTCACAAAAACACCAAAAATCATACTTTTAAACCTGAAATCCAATTAATGTCATTGATGGCTTGTAAATTTCAGTTTTCAATGATTTCTCAAAAAAGTCTTTGCAAAACTGATGAGAGGGGGTTAAAAAGCCCAGACCGATATGTGTTTTTTCAATAAAAGATTCATACTGATACGGAGTGATAGTTTTGCTTGAATAGGCACATTTAAGATCAGACGATCTTTGCACTGTGAGCTTTACCAATTTAACCCCTGTCAAAGACATAACATTACCCTGAAGACAAGTGCTTTAAGATGTAACTGACTTGAAAACAGTATTTAGAGCAACTGGACTCTACAGAGAGGTGTGAGACAAGGGTGTCAGTAGCTTGTGCCCCTATTTCTAATTTATGATATTCTTAGCAAAACCATCACAGTTTCCTGTCTAGGTCTAAAAACAAGTGAAAGACTGTCAATAGAATTTCTTTTTAACAAAGTTACTGGTGGTCTTGAAACATAAAAACTTCACTTCAAAAAGTTATTTTTTAAAATATTACTTTCAAACAGGATTAATAGGCAGACTTTAAACACATTTTGGCTACAAAAGCATTTCTGACTGATGTCTTCACAATCAAAGTGCAAATGTAGATGTAAATCAATAATAAACCTGGCAATTTATTTTTAATATGACGTAGATATTTAAACTAATGTCTTCACATAACCACAAGCTCTTAAGAACAGTAATGGACAAAGTACATTTACATCTAGACTAACATCTAGTCTCTGAAATGGACATATTTCAAAGAAATGAAGTTGTTAATTTATAGTTACATAATATATTTATCAAAAAGTAGCCAAGAGACTTTCTTCATTTTTTAGAAACTGCAGTAATCTAGACTTGCATTTATATAGCGACGTGCATGCATGTGTGTGTGTGTGTGGCTTCTTGTACTAGTCTGACTTTATATAGTCCTTTAATTAGCCCACTGAGATACGATGTCACGTGTTTAACATGAATACCCCACCCACAATATACTGACCCTGAGCTGACCAGTCCTTGTTTTAGCCCCAAATTGCTGAATGCCAGACAGGGTAACAACAAGTACCATCTCTTAACGTCTTTTGGTATGATGCAGCCAGGGATCGAACCCCGGACCTTCCTCTCTCCTGGCGAAAGCTCTTTTTAATACCACTACACCACAGTGGCAGTCAGACTTGCATGGACAGAATTTGAATGGGCTGTATTGGACATATTTGTTTCAGAGTCTGAATGACAGACTAATTTACAACTACCACAGAACAAGACAAACTGGTCTACAAGTCCTGTATCACACATATATTCAGTGTAGTAGATAAGCTTTTCATTGGATGGTACACTCATTGCTTCATTAAGAATGGGTTGTGAAAATACTCTCTTCCAAGTTGTCAGAAACCAACAAAGTATGCATGTGAGATATGCATTAATGCAATATTTCAAAAAAATACTTTTAGGATGAAATGGCCAGAATTGTTCAGCATACCTCATTGTGTCTAGTTTCCCAGCTTCAGAATACAACACTGACATTGTGCATGAGGCTTAGGATACTCTCAGCTTTTTGCGAAAACCTGGTGTCATCACTATTTGATAGTGATTGGTAGACACATGTTTATGATACAGTTGGAATCATACAACGGTCTCTGCTTTTAGCAGAGGTTTCTGATTATGGAAATATTTTTCTCACTTTTATTACACAATCTTGCTATTTATCCATACTGCACAGTGTCAAGTTAAAAGGATTAGCCAACTGACGGGCATTTTATTAAGAGATACAAAACATGTCCCCTTCTGCTCAAAATTGAGTTTGCTGTACTTCAAAGGTTAGAGGGTAAGTTTCTATAAGTATTTAAGTAAGCACCTGTCACCATGTTTAGTGTCACACACTTGAAACTATTCTCACAAATAACCACCACATAAAGAAAAAAAAAAGAGGACACCAAAATTACACAACTTAGCTTCCTAAATTATCTAAATATTAAGTATGTCATCTTTTCAAAGTACTGTATCCTAAAGAAGTGATGATGAAATGGACTAGGGCTTAGGAATTGTCAATATCATGTCCATTACATCCTGAGATCAATGGCATAGTGATACTCCAATACTCCTGGAGTAACAGTCCTCTGTTACATAGGCTATGGTAGGTAATCAATATCACGTCAATGTCTCAGCTACAGCTAATGCACGTGGATTCTACTTCCAGATCTTTACAATTACCTTTTTGCCTTACTTATCCTTTGCAAGAAAATAACTTGACATAAAAACATACACCTTAAAACACCAGTGATTACTTTGGCATCATTTATAAATACATGCAAGGCCTCATCAAATTTCCAATTTATGTTGTGACAATCTTTTTCAGAGGTTAATGTTGGTTGTGCATTACAAAGAATCTACTCCACTTTGAGCTACCCCTTCTCATAACCATTTTCACATAAATACATAAAACATTACATATACTTTTATATGTGAAGAGATACCTGAAAAATACAACCCTTATAAAATCAAGTAACTATGTTTTCATATATGATGGTGACAATATAAAACACAAATATTGATATTAACAACCCAATTAATGTAATTTACGAGAAATAGACATGTCATGTCAAAGTTGTTATAAGCATGGAAACAGAAGCACAATAAAGTATCGCACTCACCTTGATATCTCCACAGGATGAGGTGAAATGTACACATTGTCTTTAACACAGTATTGGAAATCCATTCCAGGTTTTAAACAAACTCCCATTACATGAAAACCAAGCACAGATGCAGGAGTCAAGGCATGATAGACGTATCCAACGCTGCAAATTAAAAAGCACACATTGTAGATTTCATACAGGTGGGAGCTCGTAGTAAACGATAGTAACAGATCCCACACTATGACTCTGTACTAGTTCAACACGGGGCCAATCACAGAGGAGCAATTAATTATTTACAACTAAAACAGCACTAGCCAGTCCTCCTGTTGTCCTCGGAAACACACTCCTGAAGCAAGGGACAAACAATGATGGGCAGGCTACCGCCACGCTGAGCTCAACGTCCCGTGTCCAATATTGGCCAGGGCTAGAGTCTTGGCTTCACACATGCTCAGCATCGCCCGACAGAAAACAATACTCATAGCTTTGGATAGCACTACAAAAGACTTGTCGCGCGTTCAACACAAGGTTAATAATGCATATCAGTTTGATGATGTGGAGCTGAATGGACCGTTCTCCACGATCAAACAGTGTACTATGTTCACGTTAAAGGCTCGATGCTGTTTGATTTTTACAACATAAGGGCGATGCTCTACAATAGGCCAAATTTACATAGCTGGGAAGACTCTTGGCTCAAATGCTTCTTTCAAACATGATACAGACTTGATATCGATATTGTGTGAAAGTTGCGGGTGTATAGTAAGCTCGGCTAGCATATTGTACCTTGACAGCATAAGCCTGCCTGAGGCTTTTTTCCTACTCCACGGGGAATAGACATGCTGCAGACATGATGTGGAGAGGGTGTTCTATGTATGTAACTGATTGAAACATGCTATCAGCGTGCTACAGCTATCATCTGCTCCCCGCCTCGTTCCCCATATCGTAAGAGATATCTTACAGATGTTGATTTCAAGTCTGATCCTCTAGTTTCATGATTTTCTCAGAAATGAACAATCGATTCTCTCTTTTGATGGCTGTGTGCAAGAGGGTGTTGTTTTCTTTGTGAAACAGACAATGAATGAAAACAACTGGAAGGTATTTGACACACTGACAGGGACATTGGCGGCCTTATGATGGCCACATGGTTTGTGCAAACGGAACAGGGACCCCTGTTTGCAAGGTGTGAAGCAGCGACATACAGGATAATTCTCATTAATAATTAAAGAGAAAGTACAAGAAGCTTTTGATAAATTTCTCACTTTGCCATATCTGCTTTAATACATCTTATTTATTACCAAAGAAATGAACAGTTTTAACTACCATGATAAATATTCCTCATAAATTTTTCATGTTATGAGAAAGCAAGTGTGAGAAAGGCCTCACTACTATTCACAATGTGGCTATCTGGTCCATGTAACATATGCTTCTACTACATGCTAGAATTGCTTTGTAATAAAAAATATCTAATATATCATAACATATTGGAAGATAAAACATATTATGTTACCTCCTTCATAATTAATGCTCATTTCTATCATGGAGTATTAATGACATTACGAAACTTCAATACACTGGTGAAACCACTTAATATTATCAGTAAATCAACTCTGATACATTTCTACAAGTTTTAATGAGTAAAACCTTATATGACAGTGACTTGTGAATAATCGAGCCAGAATATCGGACCAGACAAACCGGTGATTGATATTGAGAGCAACGATCCACACCTTTGGGGTAAGATGACACGCTATCAAACAATTCACGGAGCCTGACACCTGATCAGTCAGGTCAACTTTTAAGACCAGCATAGGTTGCTCTGGGGACCTATTCTGACCCGGAATTCTCACTAACATATCAACAGCTTATACATCAATAGGAGGTTTGTCACGTTTTATCTACCTTGTATCCATGACTACAAAATGGCGTAACTGACCATGCTGATTCGACATTGTAACGTTTTCTTTAGTATGTAGAAAATATCCTCTGCTTCCACAATCAGTGGCAGCCTCCCTCAAACACTTCAGCTCTGAATATACTGCATTATGTACCTCAAGAAGAAATACCTGAATCACAATATATTCCAATGCAAAGGTTTTGCCAATACACAGCCCTAACTTACAATTATGTTCTACTATAAGAAATAAAGACGTGTTTGCCAACAAGCTAGGCTCGATCAATGCTCGATTGGGTACACAAATTCCTAAATCTCTAATCTCCGGTGTAAACTATCTCAGAGTTAGATGTGTAGTCAGTTGTTGGAACAAAACAGCATTTCAAATATTGCAATTTTTTATGTTCACATTCAGCCTATTTGCTATGCAACTTTGTTTTAAGAAAATTGGTTATACATGTATTAATGGTATTCTTCACATTTTTCCTATCAATATATACCACAGTTCAGAATATTATTGTTATTATCATGATGTCATACATTTATATGCCGTAGGTATTCAGGTACCAGTATTGGCTCAAATATGGTTTTATTGTTCCCAGACCAGTGGATCTGTTTGCATTCAAGTTGTCATTCTCAACTCCCTGGGGAGTATACAACCCAAGCTGCCTCGGTGTGGTAGAAGGTTATTACATGCACCTTACATATCAGGTTCCCATTCCCTGCTGGGTGAACAGAGGCACATTTGAACTAAGTCACTTGCCCAGGGTGTCGCCACACGTTTCTGGTATATGTTCGTATTTGCGTATCCACCATCTACCATCGGACGAGTGGGTTCTTTTGAGTGCACAGTGTATGAGTGTATGTATAAGGATATCATTCTGACATCTTGATAAGTATACAAGATCTACTTCCTATGATTACCAGCTTCTTAAGAACAGAGAATTATGAGGAATCAAGTGTTATAGTGTTACAGAATGGTGGCCATTTTGTGAGGACAGAATGTCCTGTGTCCCATTATTAGCAACAGTTTGAATTATGTGAGATCTTACCGACCAATGCCCCGTTCCACAAAGCAATCATAGCGCTAAGACGATCATAACTCCTATACTTTAGCATAGATTTATGACAATCGTAGCTTTGTGGAATGGGGCCCTGAACATGGACTACTTTTAGTTCTGCTCCTTTACACAAGTAAAGCAATGTAGGTACCATTAACTGAGTGAGTGGGTGAGTTGGGTTTAACGCTGTTTTTAACAGTATTCCAGTTATATCACGGCGTGTCAGCTTAATGTGGGAGGAAAGCCCGAAGTGATGCAGGTCTCAGACGTTTACCACTTCGGTGAAACCCACGAGCACGTGTATGGTGCTGAGAAACCTAGAAACATAATCGGAGCGAACCAGGATTCGAACCCACTATCATAGGTTCCTGGCATGCCCAAGGGACGCAACTCTGCACAGCGAAACGCGGCACCTTCGACGACTGGGCCACCCGTGCCCCCTGTACCATTAACTGAAATCATTTTTATAAATCTTCAGAATTTATCAGGCGTATTAAATTTAACAGGTCTTAACTACATATCACTGACAGAATTATTTGTCAATTGCACCTTGGTATATGTCCCGCATAGCCAATACCATATTTTCTTGAGTATAGTGCCCACCCAATTAGAATGCGCACCCCCCTCTGAGCGGATTCAATATTTTGGAGAAAAAAAATTGAATATAATTTGCAGTAAAAAATTACACTGTACCACTTCAGGGAATTCCAGTAAACAAACGGGTGATAAGAATTGGTCAGTACAAATTTGAAATTTGAGATAAAAAATCACCGGACATGTTGATTTATCGTTTAAATTGTATTTTTTGTTCTGCTAGGCATTGTTTTTCATCCAGAGATTAAGATTACCTTGTGTATTTTCTCGTAAACTAATCTGGAAATAGCAATCAGCTGTACCGTTTTCTTGGCATCTACCAGTGATTAAGCTTTACAGGATCAGGAAAAAATGTATCTGAAACCATTTTTTTTTTTATCAGGAATAATATATTCAAATATTTTAGTTGCAGCTATTACCAAATGTATTTTAAATAATATTCAAAAACGCATGCTCCAGGGGTTTGCCTAGCCCTCAATATGTGTACTGTAATATACAACAGCTGGTAATTGCAGTAAATCTGATATCTACAATGTATGGACACAGTGACCAGTACACTGACCAGTGAACCTGGAGTGAGAAGAACTGCCCCTGCTCACCAGCCAACAATCATTGGTTTCATTGAAGTTATTAGGCGACGATAAGCATCTGCACCCAGTGGCCTGCGAACACCCTTCATGATAAATTCATTTTCTCACACAGCCAGAATGATTTTGATCTGAATTGGTTGTGTTGAAAACACTGCTGGATGATTGGAGAACTGGTCTGGAGGGAGAAGACACAATATAAAACTGACCAAGGCCTGAAATTACATTTTGATGGTGTGATGAAAAATATTGTTTGGCAAGTTGGATTTGGCAAAATGTCAAAAATATATATCTAAAATAATCATAAATGCATTTGGTTTTTTTACAAATGAAAAATAACATGTAGATTCAGATATTGATCTCACAGCCTTTATACATTCCGGATTATTTAATCCAAATAAACCAAAACACAATTACTCTAAGGCCTTCAGCTGTGTTTGTCTGCATGTTGGTAAAGTTGGTGCCACTGAGATGTTGACTGCCACTACAGATTGTTCAATTACTGCAGATATTTAACATACTTCCTCCACCATAAAAGTACACAAAACAAGATTCTACCAGCCAATGCTACAACAACTTCTACTGCTGCTGCCACTACTACTTCTTTTACTCCTTCCACAACTCCAGCTACAACTGTTGTTGCTGCTATAACTCTTTCTACTACTTCTACTACAAATACTGCTGCTACTACAACCACTATTTCTACTACTGCTACTACTACTACTACTACTACTACTAGCATTTCTACAACCACCACTATTACTACTACTACTACTACTACTACCACTGATACTATTACTATTTCTACTACTACTACTACCACTACTACTACATCTACTACTTCTGCTGCTACTACAACCACTATTACTACAACTACTATTACTACAACTACTACTTCTACTACTACTACTACTTCTACTACTAACGCCATTTCTACAACCACCACTATAACCGGGGTACTACTACTACTACTACTACCACTGATACTATTACTATTTCTACTACTACTACAACCACTATTACTACAACTAC